AAACTGTATTATACAAATAAAATAAGGAAATAAAAAAATTATTCTGTATGAATTGTTTATTTGAAAAATCAGTATGAAACAACTATTTTTGAAGTTATGTGCATACAGAATGACAAAACTTTTATCATAGACGTTGCTAGTTAGTTAGGCACAAGAAACTATTGTACAAAATTACAAATCATTACTTTATTTTGCAAGAAAAAAATTGATTCATGGCTTGAACTGGCATTACATCCTTTTAACTTTAAAAAAGTGTGACCAAGAATAAAAGTTTTTGTTTAGCTTCAAAATTTAACGAATAGTAGAAACATTTTAAAAAGATTAGAATAATTAAAAGTAAAGAAAATTGGGTTTAATCAAACGGAATAAGGTTTTAATAACTCCAAAAAAAAACTTTAAAAATATAAGACAAGATTTTTGTGAAACACTTCCCATTTAAAGAAGAAGTATTTGGAGCATTATCATAAAAGTGACTATTTTATAACCATTTCGTTGTTTTCAGTTTAGTATTTTGGAATAATATGTTAATGTAATTATTGTTCCAAATAAAAAATAATAAAGAAACCATGATCTTTGAGATGGGACCTACAGTTAGATATTGGAGAACAGAAATAAATGATTCGTTCCACAGAAAAAAAAATATTACGTATATTTTACCTGAATATTTATTAACAACAAATTTTTTTTTAAATCAAAATAATTTTTCACTTTTTATTCTACAACTAAAATTTTTTTTCCATTACATCAAAAACTATAAATAGAGAAAACATTGCAACAAAAGTTTTTAAACTACGAATGACTGTAAATATAAAAAATGCATCTATATTGCGTTTTACTTTATACAGAAAACAATTTTCTTCAATTATATCATTTTCCGTGACTATCAACAAATCTTAAGTTCAAGACAAACAAGGGTTAAATTTAATCTAAGTAACCTCTATACTTAAATAAAAAGGATAAGAGGAGTTCTGTCTTTACGTGGTAAGTAGGGACACTGGCGAGGTACACTGTATTAACATCGCGTAAGTTTATTTATTGTTTGTTTACCAAGTATAATACGACCCAATAATATTGTTATTTATGTTTTATAAAGCAATTAATAAGCTTATTAGAAAGTAAAAAAAAACAGTGTTGTATAGCAATATTACAATGTTGGTTTAAAAGTTTGCTTAAAAATTATACACAACCCAATATTGTAATGAATTTCTACAAAAAAATTTGCTAAAATTGACAAAACAATATACATTGTTATTAAAATAGTTGAAGTGAAAATAAAATTTTGTTTGAATGTTTCAAAAAGATTAAAAGGTACTGAGTCTATTACTCAAAACAAAATACCGGAAGAAATTTTTTATATATATATTAAAATAAAAGACAAAAAGGAGCCGTGGAGCTAAGAAAATTAAACAGAAAATTTAATCAAATGAAATAATAAATCAACTGTAATAGTTTCCCCTTGTAGTAAAGGTGGCTAAGAGTATTCTAAAAATGAAAGGGGAAGCAAATGGATATTGTGAAAGAAAGGGAGGCTGAGAAGGGGCAAGGTGTCATTATAAAAATAAAGAGGACTGAGGGAGTTTAATGGGTATTATCATAATGAGGGGCAGCTGAGTGAGAGTTTTTTTCTTTTAACTCAACCCAATAAAACTAAACTAATTTTACGTTATATTGAGGGAGGCTGAGAGAGAGAGAGGACCTAGAAATGATCAGGAGGGCTAAGGAAGAGTAGAGGGTTGGTTAAGGAGGCATTCAAATATTTGATGCAATGAAAATAATCAAGAAATTAGAAAAAATTTTACCTTATTTCAAGGAAGGATGGAGGAGGGGCATGTAGAATGTCTCTCCAAAATGACTGTACAAAATAGGTAAATTTATGAATACACGTTAATAAAAGGTGACTCATGTAGACATTATTACGAAAAGAAATTGCAATGGCGACAATGAGAAAAAAATCCTACTTATGCGGACAATCCGCAAAACTGTCCCATATTATTGGTATATATTGCGGGGTACAATTATACAGATACGGTGCCTCATAGGCACAGGGTCGCCGAACAAAGCAAGGAGTTTTAAAGTCACTTGGAGGGAGGAGTTTCGCAGTTGGGAAAAGATACCGTAAAAGAGTATTACGAGGGAGAGACGCAGGTAGAAAGCCGGAAAAAGTTTAGTTTTAGGACTCACGTTCAACCTGTTGCCGTGTTAATTCTTTGTCACCGTGACATTAAAACCCTAGCGGTGGCCTCAACAACGTACCTTAAATCAATTGATGGTGCTTCGCTTTATTCAATAGTTTTTGATTTATATTTTTGCCTTTCGTGAATCTGGTGGTCATCGTGTTTCCAAGCGTGTATGTTGGGATTCCCGTAAAGACGGTGATGTTTTCACGCCCATCTCTTTCTCAAATTGAACACACAAGAAGGGTTATTTACGTTTTAAGTTCCTCTCAATTGAACTATTAGTCATCAGTCAAAGCGATTGTTTTTTTGTTTTATTTCATTTCCCTTCAATTATGTAATGAAAGAATTTTGTGGCACTTATAAAACTGTTAAAAAAAGAAAAGGACGTTTTATTATAACTTGCGTAGTTGCTTCAAATTGTATGTTGAGTAAGAGTTAATGCAAGATCATGATGGATCTAAATTTTTTGATTCATTTTGTATACATTGTTGAATACCAGTTATATTATTTGTTATAAATTATATAAATCATTCCATTTTACTTTGATTTTATTAGCTAAACCGTAGGAATCGAATGTTAAATAATGTAATTTGATACTCTGTTAAATCATTGTTTTTAGTAATCTTTGAAGTTTTCTGTATGTGCGTTATGACTATTGAATTTGTTTTACTTGATAATACTATATGAGATAAGAAACGATTAATTTTACCCATTTTCTAAGTTAGATAAATTTTCATCATATCTTTTAAGCCTATCGTATCATCGATTAGAATTATTATACAAAACTATTTGTTAAAACAAAAAAGCGGAATCACAATTTCTTTGATTTTTTCAAATACTGAAAATAAGATTAAACTTTTTCATTTTTTTTACGTTTGATGGTCATTGTATTAGTTCTCAATTTTTACAAGGAATACAAACTCTTTAAATGATCTTTGTTTTCTTTATTTAGTGACACATACCTCTTCCCGAATCTCAACATTATCTTGTAATATCATAAAAGTACTTTGAGTCTCTGGAGGTGATTCATAGAAATGCGACTTATTTGTTATAAATAAGGAGTATACTTAATTTGTTCGTTAGTTAAAGATAAAATTATTAAAAGAAATGTTAATCAAAATATGTTTTGCAAGAAAGGTTGTGCAGGATCTAGGAAAGGTAGCCACATATGTCAGGATCAGGGGGCAAAGCCTTTGCTTCCCTCTATGAATGAAGTAAAAGATTGATAGGAGTGTGTGGGGGACCTGTGGGGAGACAAGAAAAATTGTGTGGGTAAAGAGTGGGAGGTCGGTAGGGGACTATAGAGTGATTTCAATTTTTCTTTACTTTATGGGGGATAGTGGGGAGACAGGAGAAATGTAGGAGCATCCATGGAATGCCCCATAGAAATGATCATATAATATAGAGAGATACGTGTATATATGCACAACGTTTGAAGTTTTAAATTCTTGTCAGCATTTTAAGAGGGCGTCAAGCGTGAAGTCAACTGGTTGATGCAGGTTCTTAATTTGCTACAAAATATACTCTCAATTAAAATTTTTTCCGAACGTGTGATCTGCTGGAGTAATCTCGATTCACCAACAGATTTTATGATTACAAGATTAACAAGTCCTAAAAAATGGATCTCTATTTTTTATTTTACTTTGTCATTAAACGTGCAATGTATTTTGTGGTATAAGGCTTTAAACTGGCCGGGTAAACAGTTTTGAGTGATTGTTCGCACAGGAGTCGGCCAATCCATCAATTTTCTCGAGACCAGTATGTTCTACAATATTAATTGCTTTAATTTAAATTTGTCACAAATTATTTTTTCTTTATATTTTACAACCATTTCTAAGAACTATACCTGATAGACTCTGCATTGCTGTGTTACTCTGTGTATATGCTACCGTCATGGGCATATTAAAAAATCGCCACAGATTAAATGTGATCAATTACTTTACACAGCAATGGGGACCTTATTTAATATGGCTTCCGAACCATCAGACCATGGTTGGAAATACGTACACGAAGAATTGGTTTCGCAGAGGTACGAGCCAAGTGAGGAAAGATCAGGTCTCGAAATCGGAAGCCTATGTTATCAAACTCTCGAGCTGTAAGAACCACAACCTAAACCACCGTGCTACCGTGGTCGCCACAAATTATACATTTGAGTATATTACTTTATATTTTTTTGAGCCTGCGATTAATAGAAGCGCGTGTAAGATATGCTGGCGTGATATCGCGTTAGCAGAGATTACTTGCCTTCTTCGTTTAACCCAGGACGCTAGCTACTGTAACCTTACCTAAAGTCACAAAAAAAAAGTGAAAAAGAGAAATTAATAAAAAAAAGAAATATAAGATACACCAACTATGATAAAACAAAAAAGGACAGCATCATTAATTATTTATTCATACCGTGTTAAAGTGTATTTATATGTCTTTGTTAATAATAAAAGAAAAAACCTAGACTATAAGGACTACAGAAGATTATATAGAAAACGGCAACCCTCTACTTGAAGAAATGATAAGCAATCCAGGAATAAGTAACAAATATATCTGGCTGTATATTAAACATAATTAGAAGTGATAATTCTAATTTTTTTTGCTCAGGTGGTAATGCACATCCAAAAATGACAGAACCATTTACTTTTTTTTATCAGTATGTATAAATCAGGCTACTTGTGTACTACTTTGAGTTTAGAAAAAAATAATTTAACGTTACGTAAAAATAAAAATTATCAATAGCTCACTACTAGTACAACAAAACATTTTTATATGAATTAAGATAATATTCTAGATTCATAGTATCATAAGACAAAGAGAAGTTTTTTTAATAAAAACCTGTTGTTTCTTCTGATTCAGCTTGTTTCTTTTGACATCCTTTTCTGATGATTGCAAAGTTTCTGCCGCAGCTGTCTCAAACCTTCGTCGCTGTTCGTTTTCTTGATCTGCAGTCTAAAAAAAAACAGTGATCAGTGTGTGCTTGGATACCCAACTATAAAGTTATACTTGTTATACGATGTGTCGAAGGTGGTGCAACCAACGGTTTAATGGGGATATTCGGTAAGTAGGTGTGGTTTTAATAAATATTTTGATATTAAATAGATGAACAATTACAAGTAATATATTATGTAGATAAGAAAAGTTCAAAGTCAAGATAGGCATGACATGGCGTACAAGGCTGCATGTTTTTATCAAATCTACCGATTATTTCAAAACAACTTCCTACAGCCAACGCTAAGTACATCCATAACGTCATGCTTGCGTATGTCACATACGCTTACACACTCATGATTAGTCACGTGTATAATATCCACAATATGCATCTAAAAGGCTAAAAAAAGTATCTTGTAGCACCACTTTATCTTAAATAGGGTAGTATTACGTGCCAATGAATGTAGCTTAACTCAAAAAATCACCTTATTCTTGAATAAACAATTTTTAAAGTATAAATCGCAATAAAAATGTGTTGATTTATTCACAGAACCTCGTATCAATAAGCCACTAATAAAAAAAGATTAAAACTTTGACGAAATTTTAAAAAAAATCGAATAAACGATTGTTTTTTTTAAATTTAAAATTAAAAATTAGAATTAAATAAACATTTATTAATATAGGTATATATAATAGCTGCTACCAAAAAAGGTTTGCAAATAAAAAAAAGTTAATGAAAGTTGTTAAATTAAATTAATAATTCATTGACAGACATAATTTATTATTGAACCAAATAAGTTAATAAGCAATAAACAAATATTTAAACTAAAAATCAGTTACGAATTACAAAATAAGAAAAAGTAAGTGTTTTCATATCGCGATAGCTCGTAGTAGAGTGGGTACGATACCAAGTTGGCGTGCAATAGGTTGCCAGTTCGATTCTTGTAGAATCTGTTGAAGACTAAGAATTAAAATTTGAAATTCACTTTCTTCACTCATTATAAGCTTTGGCGGTGCAGCGTTGGCGTTGGCATGGCGTGGAAAATATCGGGTACAGGGAGGGGTGGGGGCTTTAAATGAAAAATTCACTTTCGTTACACATGTTCTCAAGATCACAATTTAGAAATAGTTGGTTTAATCTATAGCATAGAACGTGCCTGTAGAATTATAACTACAAAAACTGTTTCTACACATAAATTTTTTTCTATTTAAAATTGTTTATGAAATATTAAGCATTTATTTGGTAAATAATCTATCAGAATACACACCTTCAAAGCTCTTGCAAATCGAACTATAAGCGAAAAGAATGTATTAGCATCTGCTTGCCGAGAGCTTTCCCCAAAAAACTCAACACACTCTTTAAATGCGTCTCCAGCTGCACGAACATCATAGTGTAATTGACGAAGTTTTTCTTCCGAGTTGTTGAGGAAATCACGTAGTATTATGTTATGTTTTTCTTTGCTACGCAGTTCATACTCCTTTCGAACAAGGCCCATGCCTTTTTCAAGCTCCTGCACGTCTGTTGTTATGTTTTCAAGGGATACTAAAATATTAACCAGTGAACAAAGAATGACTTTGAAATTATACCGCTTAACTTTAGAATAAGTTTATGGGCCACAAAAATCCAGGCCAGTCAAATAATATTTTAATGATTACGTTACCTGTCGCAGCTTTATCGATGTATAGTAATTCAGAATCAAAAGTAATGAGCTCAGGAAACTTTAGTCTTATTGTTGCAACAATATAGTGAAGTAGGCTTATTCGCTTGTCGGTCGATTTTGTATCCATAAGAGTGTCCAAGCTTTGCAATTTAAAACCGTAAGCAGGACCACGTTTACTGCTATTCAAATAATTTCCAAAAGCAAGAATAATTTCTAGTATACCTCTTAACTTTTTCGAACTCTTGACTGTGCTAGATGCAGATACTACAGCATGTGTTTGAGGAGAAATAAGATGTATGTTGTCAAAAAAATTTCCAATGTAACTCATAATAGACAACTTCGTTGATATTCTTTCAATTTTGCCAAGCTGGAGTAAAAACTTGTCTTCTCCAGTTAAGAGATTCACATTTTTTTTTTCAGTAATATACTCCCGATACGACTTTATCTGTAAATTAAAAAAAACTATTCTAGTTAAAGTATATGATAGTATTACATAATACAGTGAATTTCAATTTTTCTTTACTTTATGGGGGATAGTGGGGAGACAGGAGAAATGTAGGAGCATCCATGGAATGCCCCATAGAAATGATCATATAATATAGAGAGATACGTGTATATATGCACAACGTTTGAAGTTTTAAATTCTTGTCAGCATTTTAAGAGGGCGTCAAGCGTGAAGNTATTTTAAAATACGTGTATGTTATATTTTTTTGAAGTGCATTACTAATTTATAAATCGTTTACGTTTCGCTTAGAGCAAATAATTCATAAGAAACATGCTTCTTTGATAATCTTGTTTATCAGATTTACGAATATTTTCATTGCATTTCTTAAAATACGAAAAATGGTATTTATTCTACCATACTTAGCCAATACATTCAACCCCTTAAAAATAAAAATAAAATGATTGTTGAGATATTTAGAAAATTCAAGAAACAAGCGAGTTTTCATGTAAAAACATCATACTTTAAATTGTATGTAATTGGATTATCTGAGAAAAATTATACATGCTACAGTTTTTTGTAAATAAGAAATAGAATTTTTTAGAAAACCATAAAATTTTTTTAACTAATCTTGAATGAAATTAGAACCATCACATAGATTTTTTTTTAAATGACAGGAATATAGGTTTAATGTTTACTGAACCATTAAAGTACTAGAATATACCAAAACTGGAATGTATGGTCAAGATGGTAGAAAACGTTGAAACACACATTATGGCACAATGGTGCCTGCTTGTTATTTTGAAAACTTTGTTTATCAAACAGTAATACTTTGTTTCGTAACGTTTATAATATCATGTCACAAAATTTTCGATTATTTAAAATTTTGTCACGGATCATTTTTATTGTTATTTGGATGTGTCATATTAACGCACTGCAGAACTTCTTAGTGTTACTGCGAACGTGACATAAAATCTCTCAAGATAACCTAGCACTAATAAGCTGGTATACGCTGACGAAAGTATATAGTCTCCGGTTTCTTCCTATATTTAAGATGATGTATGAGTTGTGTTCATTAATATACGTATATAGCATCACATAGCATACAATCTAATTCATACACTATACTTGTAGATTTAAATGATTTTGTTTTATCCCTGCCTAATATTGCAATATCATTAATTTTACTATACATAATTCGGAATTATTTTAAAATTGTATGAAGTCAGACTTTTTTTTGCCAATTTCAACAAATTTTACATTAAAATGAAGAATAACACTAATTTTCTCTTTCTACCTGTTGATGACATTGTGTTTTGATCATTTAAAAGCTCTTGAACATTACGCGATAGTTTCTTGACTAAATTTTCAATCATATTAACGGGACATGAATTTTTTTGTAGAATTGACATAGTAACATTCATTTTTTTATTGTGAAATCTTCTGTCTAAGAGTGAGACTACTCTACCAATCAAACTATAAATAATTTTTATTTTACATTATTAATTGAGTATGATTTAAATGAAAAATATTAGTAAGTCAAGATGAGATATTTTTTCTTTACCAATCTGTTATCATTAAAAAATACGTTTTAATAAATGTGACATTTAAAAAACTAAGAGTATTATTAAAGTCTATTTCATAAGTTCACGTGATATGTTTGAAATGGATGTTGGAGCCTACAGTATAACATCCAAATGTTCTCTATTAATGCATGCAAACCCATTATCGACGCATCTGTAATAAAATTAAGGAATATAAATAAAGTTACTCTTAATTTACATTAAAATCATAAGACAGTATTATTTTTACTTAATTTTCAATGTGATTGAAAAAAAATATCAAAAAATCATTGCATAATATTGATCAGCGTTTGAGTAATCGAAAAATATTGAAAAATTGAACTGCAAAAACATTTTTGAATAATAATAATGCTATAATAAATTAAAATAGTAATAAAATAAATAATGTTATAAAATTAGGCAAGAATGAAACAGAAACATTGCAATTCACAAAACGTAGTATAAAAAATGAATGGTTTGTAATGTGATGCTACACGTATTTTTAAAACTCAGATAGCTCTCAAAAACGAGTAAATAAGCATAGAAAAAACGAATATCCTGTATCTGTAGTTAATATACTGAGCATTATCATCAATTTGACTTAATTAATACGAAAATTTTAAACGCAGAGAGTAAATGGCAAAAAAGACTGATTGTTGAAATGTTATATTTTAAAAGAAATAACTACGAAATGGATAAAAAGGAAGAAACCCAAGATCTCAGTTATTTACATGATGGTTTACTATAAATTTTCAAAAGGTGACTAATGATTTTTATAAGTTTTCTTATAGTTTGGCACATAGTTATGTTTTAATATAAATGTATACGGATTTTTGTTGTTTTACGGATTATCGTTCTTGGTGCATATGATTAGCAAGTGTATAATTTTAATCTTAGTTGACAATTTACACCCACGTAATACGCATGAATCTGCATTAATTTATTGTGTATTTAAATAGTGCAATTTGTGTAAAAAGTTATAATTAATTTCTGTTTTACAGTCTCAAGACATCGGAAAATGTACCTGAAGAAACGTTGCTGAAAATAAAATTAACACACCAAACTCCTGGCTCGACGAATTTATACTTGCAAATATAAGTATATTTTACTCAGCTAACTTACTTCATTGCAAGGATAATATAATTTAAAGATTAGGAATAAATTTTACTTAAATTAAAATTAAATTTTAATCATTGTTATAGCTCTAAGCTATAATAGCAAAAACTTTTTATGAACGTATGCAACTTCGAAACATTAGATATGTAATTCTTCGGTAGTCACAGTAGCTAACCCGCACCATGCAAAAGGGTACGTTTTTTTCAATTTTCGGGCGAAACGTCCTAGGCCTGTCACGCGTTAGCGTTGGCATTGCACGGAAAATAGCGGGGACAGGGGGGGGGGGCTTCAAATGAAAAATTCATTATCATTACACACTTTTTCGTTAAAAATCACTGTTTCCAGCTTACTGTTCGGGCTTTATTACTATCCAAAAAAAATTAATTTTTTTATTTTGATTTTATACCTTTTTCTTTATTTTTATTTTTAATTATTCATGATTGCATTTTGTTTAACTCGGCAATTTCTTTGACTTTTTCGATTTTGATTCTGAAGGACTTGAACCCATTTCAACTGAATTTATTTACAAATAAAATTACCTTCTAGGCACAGTATCACTACCAACGACTTCAAATCCATAGCATTAATTCAATTTCGAAATATTTAGCTAAAAAAAAAAAGCGAAAACTTAAAGCTGGAAATTGAAACTGAAAGAATGGTTTCAACTGGAAGTTGCCACTGGAATAAAGAAGAGTGACAACTTTCAGTTGCAACTGTCAATTTTAGGTTTTGGCTTTTTTTTTAAGCTTAATATCTTAAAATTAATTAATTCTATGGCTTTGAAGTCGTTGGTAGTGATACAGCACCTAGAAGGTAGTTTGAGTTGAAAAAAAAATTATTAAGCTTAGCTAGGGCCTAGTAAACAAAAATTGAAAACAATACTTTCAGAAAATCATTTTAACAACTAAAATAAACATTCAGACCGTCTACTATGTAAATATTTCTATAGACGACTACAAAGTCATGGCATTACCAAAAATTCGAAATTTTTGGGATAAAAAACAGCCGAAACTCTAAACACCCGTATCACCGTAAGTAATAAATAAACTAAACTAGTGGACAGTGGGTGCTTGGGCACCTAAAAATAAAGTTATACTTCTATAACATTCTGTGGCAAGCAATATATGAATGAAAATACTGAGAAAAATACCTTGTATGAAACGATATTTTAAATAACCCTATGCGATGTATCGCAGGTGGTGCAGTTATTATTTGAACTATGAAATTCGGTAATTGGGTGTGGCTTTAATAAATATTGTAATATTAAATAAATGAACAATTATTAACAATATATTATAAAGAAAAGAATAGTTTAGATGGAAGCCATGGCATGACGTGCTGTTAGGCTGGCCAGTACAATACTGTGTGCTTTCCTCTTTAATAGGGTAGTATTGCATCATTACATGGCAGTGAACGTCGCTGCAGGACGTTCATCACACATAGATTTTTTGATAAATATCATTAAAACGTGCATTCGTTATAGCATAAAAAATACCCACAAAAAATTTCAGATCGTTTAATTGTACCGTTTTTTAAATGTTTTATTTAAAAAAAACCTCAATTTATTATTGAACCTTATGGAAGAATCACGTGAAATTGCATTTATGAGGAAATGATCTGTTGAAAGCTTCCAATATTTTGTATGATAGATTACTATTGTATAAACCTATAAAATTTTTGAATTAATCCACAAGTTATTATTTAATAAAATAAGAAAGAAAGGGGTAAGTATCCGTAAAAGCGCATATATACGTATATTTATATGAAAAAAAAAAATTGCCAGCGTTGCTACATATTTACGCTCCTTCAACCTCTCTAAACTTTCCCCGCGCTAACTGTGATGAACGTTATTAACTCAAAAAAATCACCTTAGTCTCGAACACAAAAATTACGAAAGAATAAAACGCAATTAAAATTAATTACTGTATTCATAGAGCCTCGTATGAATAAACTATTGATGAAAAAACGATTAAAAAATGTAAGACTGTTGGAAAAAAGTTAAAAAACTTGAAAAAATTGT